TGTACAGGTGACCGTCTTATAGAGGTGGCCGTCAGGGCAGGTTCGACTGTATGTCAAAATGTCGATACATCAGCTGTCGATATAAGTTGATTATACTGCAGGTCATATAAGTGCCAAAGACTTGAGATGTTACAAGCGAGTTACATAAAAAGAAAAGAAGAAGCAGAGATAAGGACAACAGCAGATGTCTAACAGGAAAGAGGAGCAAATGACACCAGACCACCTGTCAACCACACATGGACTAAGTCTGAACAAAGCTTGAAACACAAGGTACATGAACGCACTAATAGATATATTCCAGTGATAAATTATAATTTTTTTAAAGCCTTGATTTATCAAGTCTGGGATTACCTAAAATCTATAAACAAATGAAGCGGACCAACATGAAAGATTAACAGATTTCTCTTTTGTGTGAACCTTGATTGTAATACCAGTTCTATCAGCAACTTACAGTTGATCATATGTAGAGTTTAGTTAATAACTCCACAATATATATTTTCTACAACACGGTAAAGATAGGATTAACAAATTACTGAACCAGACATTGGAAAGGATAAATCACAAAATGGATTAAACATGATAACACAAAGTGTCACAAAGAGCGTAAAACTTACTTTCAAGCAGGGATATGCGCTATATATATAGATGCTCGTTATAAAATATATTATTGTTATTATCATTATGACTGTTAATATTATTACTATTTTTATTATCATTATTTTTTCTTCTTCTTCTTCTTCTTATTATTATTATTATTACTACTACTATTATTATTAGTGAAATAATGGTACACAAAAATTAGATGAGGAGTAGGACTAGATCTAGTAAAAATAGAAATACTTTTCTTTATCAAACAAAACAAAAATCACAAGTAGCTAGTGCTATTAAACAAAACAAAAATCACAAGTAGCTAGTGCTATTAAACAAAACAAAAATCACAAGTAGCTAGTGCAAGTACGGAGATCTCTCTAAAATTCTACAAACATCACACCGTATCTCATCCTGTTTGAAAAGCATAGCAAAAACTTTCTTATAACAGCACTTGTAGTTGGAAGACACAAGTAGTACATGTTTGAAAATATTTCTAAAAGACAAATCAAACCAGTACAAAATTAGAATTTATATTTGCATGTTTATTGCTCATTCAAGGCAAATCAATTACAAATCCAGATAACTGTACACACCACAGCTTACACATTACTTTCCTCTCTTTACACATGCATTTCTTCACTCAAATGACAAATATTTCATGTGTAACCACCTGAGCATTCATTTCAAACAAACTAACAGACCACATGTCGAATGTTTGCAAAAATAACCTCATTCATAACTTCCTGTACAACTTTCATTCACCAATGTATTTACACTGATATTCCAATTCCAAAGTTCTGTCTTGTCTTTGACTTGATTTTTGTTTATATGTTAGTGTTGCAGTTGTCTGTTTAGTTATGTATACTTTGTTTGTGGGATTTTTTTCAATGCCCAAGGGGGGTGGGGGTGGGGGGGGCAAAAATTCCTGAAAAGTTTTTTAAAAACATTTAGTTCACACAATGTTTTTTGTCTCTTCCTGATGCTTCGCAAAAAAAGTTCAACAATTTGTATTCCCTTCCACTTTCAGTAAATTTAATCTCCGAACAGGGTAAACCCACTATGCGGGGGCCCTTTTTTTGGTACTGAATCAAATATTGATGGAAACGTCACTAAACTGGTCATTAAATCAAAACAAGTGAACCTATTTTGATAGTTCTTCATCTAATGAATGACATCCCGGTAAAATCGACCTGTTCTCGGAAATTGCCAAAAAGCCATTTGATGTAGAAGTTGTAAAGGAATGTGCCAGAGTCAGCGGCTCACCAGCACTGAGGTTCCGAAAGCGAGCGGCTTGTCGGAAATAAAGAGTTAATATTCTCGCCGACCATCACTTCTGTCATCGAACAGTATGCATGATGATAGCTTGTCCATGACACAGAATATTATATATATAGCCGTGAAACTCCTGATTTAAAAACTCCACTCTGCACTGCATATTCCAGTGGCAAACCCTACCCCTCACAAAATGCACCACACATTAAAATTGATAAGAGCTCAATGGAGTCTCCTGTTTTGACAGTCATTTTCTAATTAGATAACATGTAGCAATGTGACAAAATAAGTCACTTGTTGCACTCTGGGGTTTTTTTTGTAGATATCGGGCAAAACCTCCATTTTCTCACAGCTATTCATCTCAAACTTCAACTGACTATAACTGTGTAACAAAATCACAAAGACTAAAACTGTTTCATCATTGTTTAGGGCTTGAACAGATCTTTATTTATACCCCAGTGTTGTTTTATCTTTCTTTCTTTCAAACGCAACACGTTACTCATTATATCGCTTTGCTATACCGGTACATACTGATTTCAGCTAAGCAGAAAATCAAAATATTCAGCAAAATCTTTCTTTTTTTTTTGGCGACAGATGCATCTCTACAAGATCAAAAACAGTAACAACCAGGAAATAGTTCTTCCATCAGAAACAAAATTCATTTTGCAAACATCCAAAGATTCAAAATAATTCTGTTGTAATAATGAGTTCTCGAATGCATTCTGAACAAGTTCTTTTGTCAGTGTAACTCAGAGCTCCTGCTTCAGGATTAGATCTATATATGAGGTAGCGTGGTGGAATCAGGCTCTCGTCAATTTTTTAGGCATGTAGTGTTATTGGTATCATCTTAAAGCTTGTTCATTTGTCTTTATTTGAATGAAAAAAGTATCCATTTACCTTGAATACAAGTCGAGACATTTGCAAAAGAAAGTGGTGGGGGTCACCTGTTTTCAGAGATAAAATTAGTGAGAAAATGGCCACCAAAAATTAGTTATTTCTTGGCTTAAGAGTCCGTGGTAACTGAAAATTTACATTTTTGTGCCTTTAATCAATGTTTTTCAGAAAAATCTACACAGAAATGAGTTCTTTAATGTTCATGAAAGGTGTTGAGCCAAAAAAACAAAAATTTGATAAAAATTCCCAAAGCTGCGGAAAAATGCAAGTTGCTTCACTTTGATTATTTTGACGAGAGCCTGATTCCACCACGCTGCCTCACATATTTCTTTAACATGCTTGAGATATGGGAAGAAGGGAGACTTACATCAGTTAGATTCAATTGTCTGTGTTTATAAATCCATGGTTACTGCAGCCTTGGTATGAAAGCTAATTGGTCAAGTCATGGCAATGGAGAGGAGTTCAAGAAAGATGGTCTTTCAGAGGACAGGAACAAAACTTGTCTCATTCCATAACTATACTCTATTTCAACTCATTCGCTACGCCGAGCCGTGGGGGGCAGCGAGGCTAAAGTGCCGTCAGTACGCTAAGCCGCCCCCGGCGGTTCGAGAACCGACGTTCAATTTTAGCTTGGTTTCTATTCCAATCCAGATATCCATGTTAAAATAAAGGTCATAATATAAAGTTGATTTCCGGGTCAAGCGTTTCCACCGAAAATCGGAAGTTTTGATTCAGTTTTGAAACACGATTTCGAAGTTTATGCGACATTGTTTTATCGCGAAGCCCAAATTGTAGCCCAGACACCAGTCTTAGTACTTTTACACAACAAAATGTATCATTATTTTGCTCACTAAAGAAATGTAGGACTCTTCTTTATAATATTAATACTACTGGACTCAAATTGCCAGTGCACTGTAATTGAGAAATCAATATTTTTGAGTGCTAAATCTAGGCCTAGATCTAAATAGTCAAAATATTTTTTTTCTTCCCAAAATCACTACTTTTTGGTGAATTTACTCAAAAAGTACCAGCCAAGACATGTATAGTTTTATTCCAAATGCAATTCTGAATAATTCCATATAAGATACGAGTGTTTTTTCTTCTGTTTGGGATCCTTTTTTCAAAAATATTTTTAAAAATGTTTTTTCAATATCGCAGGTTATGATCCAAACGTACAAATATTATGGAATGTATGTAAATAACTGCTAATTTTTCAATATTTTCCTTTTCTATATACAGTTATGGTTATTTTGATGTATAATTTGACTAGGTGCAAACATAATTTTTGAGTTTCATCTGAGATTATTTATTTTTTGTTTTCAAATTTTATCCGCAGCCAATCACAATTGTGTTGCATAATCGCCTCTTACAGGAACCAAAGTTAAAAAATACTCAAATAAACAATACAGATGTATTCTACAAACCATACTGAAAATGTTGGTATATAATATGTTGATATTTATTTGAATTTATGGCCCCCAAGACCTGTGAACTGCGCACTAGTCATCATCTCATTTTGCCCTTCCGAAAAAAATTCATCCACAAGCCGAAAATAATACGTAGCGAATGAGTTAAAGGGGTTTTCTTGTTCTTTCCTTTTGTTTCAAGAGAATAAAATACATTTACACAAAATGTAGAGATGGGAGCTACAGTAGTCTCCACCTAAACGCACGGTGCTCGGGAGGGCTCCCTAGCGTGTGTTTATACGGAGCGTGCGTTTACACGAACCTTAGCAAAGGGAGGAAGGGACGCAGTTATCTCATTGCCTTGATATTTCTAGTGACCTCCCTTTGAGGTGGGGGCCACTTTGGCCGATAATGTGACGACACGTGACTGTTTTGTGAAGAATTCCCCAACTGCGGTTAAGAATACAAAGGCGTGAGGCAGAAAAAACAGACTCAATGTAATCATATGCATCATAAAATGTCGAGAACAGATAGCCTTAGAGGAAATTGTTGGTGATAGTCATAGAGACGACAGCACAGCCACATGGCTTTCCAAGCGACCACCCCCGACCGCATTCAAGAACGACACTGCATTCACACGTGTTGCGCTTCAAAGCCTAGGTCTAACTAAACAATATACTATACATTACAAGCGGTCACCCAAACACCAGTCAGAAACCTTCTCTCAGAGATGCATTTCCAGTGACCAATAAAAAAACATTTCAGTCCCCCAACCCCCCAACTTTTCACCGACCAGTCCTAGACCTAGACCTATGTGTCTGTGGAAAGTTGGGTGTGAAAAAGCTGTCCATCACTCTCTTTGTTCGGCGTGAGGGGTAGTATCACCAAACATCCGGTTTTCTAGGCTTGTCTTGCAAGCTGTGCAGGTTGTAGTGAAAATTTCTCTTAGTCCAGCTTTACATGTCAGCGTGTTCCGCGGATCGAAGCATGCGTTTAGAGGGAGTGACCGTGCGTTTGTACGTCTAAATTATATAGTAAAAAACCTGTCAGATGACAAAAGCGTGCGTTTGAGCGGAGCGTGCTTTTGTATGGCGTGCGTTTAGGCAGAGACTACTGTATATGGCTACTCTCGCTTAAGTAAATTGCTATCTTCCAATATCAAAGCAGCACATCAAATTTGACCAAATAAGTCAAGAGTAGTACAGCAGATACTGAGACATTTCACTCCGGTGCATAGCACTGAGCCAACGATCTTAGTTCATGAATTGTTTCAGTAAAGTCATCTGGCTCCAGTCCTGCCTCAATGAAGTGCTGATGCTTGCTGATGTTGAACTTGGAGACACTCTCAGTCAAGCTGTCTATGTGGGAGAAGACATCGGAGGTAGACTGGAGAGACGTCAAGACAGGAACGCGCTCCACACCTTAAAAAAAAACAATATGTAACTTATCAATAGGAACAGAGATTTAGCAGTTCTAAAAACGGTTAAGGGGATCTAAGCTTCAGGATTTTTTGTTATTCTGAAAATTACATTGTTTCAATTTCGATTAATTCTTACCAACACTTTTCTAAGAAAAAACAACAAAAGAGATGTTGTTTTGCTGTCAGATCATTAAAGACAAAGTACGAAAAAGGGAATTATTGTAAATGAAGAGCTAACAGAGCCATGGGAAATTAAAATTCATGAAAATAGCAAATGGTGGACGTTTGACCCTTGCTGCCATGGAAAAACGAACATAAACCACAGTATAATTGAATGCCCTGTCTATGTTGTTAGCGATCCAGTAGCATCTGAGCGTTAACTCTTCTGCATGATGCCATTCGGTAATAGTTGCATGTTTGTTCTAATTGTTTTCTTGAGGAGTAGAGGCAATTAGATGTGTGGGGTAGCTTGGGAAGAAAACATCCCCTTAAATCAGTTAGTTTTCTACAGAAGAACAGATGATGTTCCACTGTCTCATGCCCTGTCTATGAGCTCGGATCAACATGTCTTGCTAAGGGACAGACCCAATTGACCACTTCATTCTTGACTGTGTCACTGACATAGCTTGACACTATGTGAGAACCAGAGGTCACTAAACATTTTGACACTTTCAAGATACATAAAAAGAATGATACAGTGATCTCAGCCTAAGATCCCGGTGTTTGGGAGCAAGAAATACATGGGATCTTAGCAAAAGCATCAGGGTAGAATCCATGGTGACTCACGGTCAGGCCATAATAGGTAAAATAATCTCCCCTTACTTTAAATGAACTGACCAAGGATTTATAACTTATTTTGAGCAAGAGTTTTGAACTTTGAGGAACGATCACAACGGTATGATATGCACACAAATTTTCTATTTATTTTGAAATCTGACAAATACAGCAATGTAACAACAACAAGAAATGAAAGCAGCATTCAAGGGATTTTCCATACCAAGATGAGACGGTCGCTCTGTATCTGAGAGGAAGCCATGCCAGTTCACACCAGGACTGAAGATATGCGGGAAAGGTGTTGACACAACAACTCCATCTCTCATGTGGCAGCCAGAGCTGTCAACAAAGACAAATGAGATTTTTTACCTGTTGTCGAGTTACCGTGTAAACCTAAGGGATTAAAATAGTAAGATTCATTACAAATCCAAGAAGTTATTTGATCAAAAATGCTGATTTCCTAACCATGCCTTCTTAAAATACCACAAGTGTCACTATTTGGTTTTGGGGTTCTTATTAATCTACATGATATCAATGCTTTATTTAAATTCTACAACAAAATAATTATTTTAAGAATATTGTTTGCTTTCAAGTTGAAAATACAACAACAAAAAATACTTGTTCATCCAAAATCTCAACTCATTGTTATCTACACCAGTTATACCCAATGTTTAGAAGCATACTATCTTCTTGCTGTATTTCCGAGTCTATTTTTCAAAAGATTTTGTGCACAATTGAGGCCAAAGACAATCATATCTGCACTAATATGACCTAATTGCGTTGCAAGTGCCGTAAACATTGGCTAAAACTAAAGACAGTAATCTTAAAGAAAAACCATCTACTTGACTTTGCAACCCAAATTGATTCTTAGTGAACATAAAGAAACACAAAATTAAGTAAAAACAACATTTTCAATGACAAAGATATCAAAGCAAAACAACATTTACCCTGACAAAATCCCAAACACACAATAACACACACATCTACTTACATCTAGCGAAATACAAGCTCATAAATGTATTTACCAACACAAACTGATTTCTTACTCACTTGAAACTACCTGGGTACGTCTCGGTGAGATACAATCTCAGCACATCATCAACAGACGAGCAAGAGGACAAAAGGCGTGAGGCAGGGCTATCAGATACAAGTCTGAAAAAAATATAAATTAAAAGTACCATTAGTACTCTTACATGCTGTTTTTACAAGATTTTAAGAGCAAAAGATTTACTATGTATCTTTGAAAATCAGAGGATCTCATTTTAAGATGCACACCCAAACACTGAATTTGAAGTACATCCATAATCACTTCACAGGAACAAAGGATTGTCAGTCTTACCAAAGTTTTAGTAATCAGTATGACATAACTAAAACACTCTTCATTTCTCATGTTATAGATGACCATACTTCACTTAGGAAATACTATTACAAACCAACTGTGCTCTCATTAAAAAAGGACCAGTTCATACAGTTGCTGCATAATTGGATCAGAAACAATGAGAGAAATATATAATTCTTCAGTGTTTAACTGTGAACTTTGATTGATATTGTGACATGTGAAATTTGCCTCTTCTGTATCATTTTCTATTTCTGTGCCTCAGTGTACTTAAAAGCAATATCTCGCCTTACGCACTTAAAGACTGTCTACATAAATACTTGGGGTAGGTCTTACTTTTCAATCCATCAGCTTCTTCTGAATGTCTATTAGTGTATTTAGACAATTGCATTCATATTCCCCTTTAACCAAACAAATAAATCTAGACATGCACCAGTATGACTACCTTTTTGCCCCAAGCTGCGGAACTCCACGAAGTACACAGGACTGGAACATTGGTGATGAGACGCAGTGTACACTTGGGGTCAAGGATGTCCATGGGTCAGTTTGACCCAAACTAACTAGAGTATCTGCAACTGTGGTTCCCATACGCAGAGGGAAAGGAAGGCTGAGATTCAAAGCACTGACCTGAGCGTAGTCAAAGAAAAGATAGACATTGTTAGAAATTTCACTTGTCAATAATTCACTTTGCATTGCAACTTTTTCTGAACAAAACAATGACACATGCTGCTTCAGTCATGGGCACATTTTAAGTTTCAATCAACGACATGCTCATTATTAATATTCAGACATGTTTAGTAAAACAAAACAAAAATACATCAATCGCCATGAAAGGTAAAAAGTTAGGCTGTTAAAAGATCTTCTAGTCAAACGTAACAACTCAAAAACAATTTAAAATAGTCATCAAGGGCATAGAAAGACACACAAAACACTTTGTTTGACCTACCTTTCTTCCTAAAGAGCTAAAAGATGAGGTGATATCACTGATGCTTGCTGGGTCATTCTCTCTTCTGTATGGTAGACTGGCTGTATCTAAAGCCGCAGCAAGGACAGCACTGGTGTGATAGTCCAGCTCTGCCTGTAATCATGTACGGAAAAGATTTATAATTACGACCAGTTGAAAGTATTAGAATGGCCAAGTGGTTACTGATTTCAGACCCAGAGTAATGTAACATATGTTGCTGACAAAGCATTTAGATGGATAATAAGTGGAGTGTATCCTTGAGCTAGACATGATAACCCTAGCTCAAAACCAGGGTGCTCCTCAGTGGTGCTGATATTACATTATGTTATTGTTAATTAATTGTTTTATGTATGTACTTTGCATGTTTGCGTGAATGTAAATATAAATAAGTCATAGGGAAAAACATTCCACACAAGGATTAATCGAATGATAGCAGACATTGTTTGTCATTCTTTATTCATTTTTTATCATTTTGTGAAATCACATCACAAGAATTCAGTTTTCAAAACGCTACCATTTGCATTCTTTTAAGACAGTTCATTTTAAAAAATCAGTACTTAAAATAGTGAGAAACAGAAATAAAATAATAAAAATAAAAAATAAATTACATTTTTATCGATCCCAGAAGGGCAATTCGCTTCACAATGGCAAACATACAAACATACATAATTATAAATATGTACATACATACATAAATGCATACACATACATACATAAATACACAATTATACCAAAAAAGAACAATTTTACGATCATGCCATTGCTGGTCACCACTGTGCAGCGCTCTGCTTCTTTATTTAGGGCTGTCGTGTCTAGCTCAAGGACACACCCCAGTCACCACATATCTGATCCCCATGTCACCAACACTTGCTTGACTTTACTCTTGAGTCAAAACTCACTACTCACTTACCCACTAGAGCCCCAAAAATGTTATGAATAGCAACATTCCAAAACAAAGCATAAACTCTATCAATTATGGGTTTTTTTAACACAACCCCCCCCCCCCCTAAAACAATAGAAAAAAAGAGCACGCATGGAAACTCATCATCAAAAATAGTAGACACTCATTAATGAAAAGCATTCTAGTGGCAACCTTCAAGCACCCACACTTTTTTAATTTGTAAATGCAGAGCAAACCTGACCCAGTGTACTGACATGCAGCAAAGCTATCACATTTCCTACATTTTACAGAATAAAATCAGTCGACAAAAAGAAATTCTTCAGACTTTCACAAGCTCACCTTATATTGCAGATTGTCAAATTTGACAGGTGCCCCAACGTTCCTCCACAAAGAAGAAGCCAGTGAGAGAGGGACATAGAGAGAACTGTGCTCAGAGCAATGCCGAAGACTTAATGCACTGTTTAGAATTCTGGTTGACCTCTCCACTGCAGTCTGCACAAGGAATACACAGAAACACCTGTTATAGTACAATAAACTGTAGCAAAGTCTCATGCTTTTACTTACTATCAACAAAGAATTAGCAAGTGAAACTAGCCATTTTATTATTAGTATTTTTGCTGTGTTGAATATAACTTTCAAACTACTATTATGTGAACCTTACTAGCTGGACAGTTGCGTATTGAAAAAAAGAGATTTTTATCTTTATATAAATCAGTTTGTGGAGAGTAAGTGGTGCAAGAAATGTGGAACCTGAATACATAAGTTATTTTCAAACCAAAAGCGTGTTGTCCTCCAAAGTTCACAAAAATTTCTTGGCATTATTGGATTGTATTTAATTTGTCTTGGTTTGGACACTGATTTTTCAGCCCCCTCCTGCCCACCCAGCAGTAATGGCTACCTGACTTCGAGTTGGGGAAGTGAAGGCAGCGTGGAAAAGAACTGGCCACCCTACCACTATATGTCGAAGGCCTAGGAAGTTGTCTCACTAAAAAACAATCCCTAAATCTGGATCGGATGCGGAAACAACTTTACTTTACTTTATTTAAATAGTCATTAAACAAAAATCAACCAAGGAAGACCTAATTTCGTATAAACAATTACAACACAAGATTCCCAAAATGGGAAGTTCTCAGAAAAGTCACCACAGATCTGTCTGCGTCATTTTATGCAAGAAAAATTCTGAAATTAAGCAAACTGAGCCGAAAAATGTGAAACTATGCGATTATGTTAATTTTTTAAAAGACTGATAAAGGAAAATAATAAAAAATTACGCCAAAAATAATCACATTTTGCTTAATTATGTGGGGTGCATAAAACCACGGGGACAAACAGATATCAACAACAGATAAGAGCACACAAAAAAACCTGATCAGGAGGACAAGCAGGAGTGAGGCCCAGGCTCAGCCTTGACTTGCTGGAGAACTCATCAGACAGGTAGGAGAGGGCAGATGATGACAAGCCTCCAAAACCATTATGATTGTCCAAGAGAATGTGAAAACCCTGGAATTAAGAGCAAGACTTTCAGTGTTAATGATCATTTAATGATTTGGCAAAGGGTGGTGGAGTTCATAAATCTAATGAAACAATCCTCAAGGAGCCATGTGTCATCAGAGCTACATGGGTAAACTAGTCGAGGAGGCAACATCACATTTAAGACTTGATGGCACGAAAAGCCTGTGGGTGGCTGGCGGGCACTCTGGCATGGTTTGCTCCTTCTTTCCCATCAAACATCTATCGTCCTTATCTCTCTTCCTTTTCTTTGTATGTTACTCTCTAGTAAAAGCTGTAATTTTTTGCACTTATATGACCTACCTGTGTTGCAAGTGCTGTAGAATTCTTATTACAAAATACTAAAACTAATGAAAAGCCTTAAATAAAAATGTCCTATTCACGAGGGCTATCCTTTAGAACTTAAACAAAGGCCTCAGGTAAAAGAAGCTAAGAACTCTGCAAATACTCTAGTAAGTCCTCAAAAGACAAAAAGAGGATCTCCTTTCAGCTGAAGAACAAACTGAATACAGACTGTCTATTGTTAAAAATACAAAAATAAAGCCTTTTATCTATATATTTATTTTTTTTTAAAACAAAAAAACAATCATATTTATTTCACTAGGTACAAGGACAAATCATCCTACCTGTAACTGGTCACACTCCTCAGTGAAGTAGCGGATCTGATCTTCCAAGGCTTCCCACTCCCTATCAGTTTTTGCTATTTGTTGACCTTGCCCAAATATGCCAAAGTCATTCTGAGAACTGGACATTCAATAATGTGAGAAGAAAGCACAACAATTTGCACAGAACATAATTAAATACAGGGTGACCCAAAAAAAACAACTTAACAACTTTTTTTCTGAACATTTGACTCAAAAATTGTTCTAGAATGCTGTATTTGGAACAGACATAATTCATTCAAATGGAATTTGTTTGATAAAAATCCACGAGGAAGAAACTTATTTTGTTAACGAAAATGGCTTTAAGAAAAAAGTACCAATAAATAAAAAGTTCACCAAATTTTAAAAATCTTGTAGTCATGAAACGATTGGCTGGCTTTTTTTCTGTATTTTCTTTCTTAACTTTAATTTTCCATCCCTGTAACATTTAAACAATATTTCATTTTCTTTTTCAGAGTTAACAAACTAACAATTTTATTCCGGAATGTCTAGAAAAAGTGCTGTGCATGCCCTCTTCTGGACTTGACACATTTTTAACGTGTCATTCGAAATATTCAATGGCACCCAAACACAAGGACCTGGTAAACCATGAGTGTTTAGCCCTATCAGTATGTCCTGGGGTCATTTTGTACCCCGGGGGTTGTATTCTTCACATTTTAGAATATTTCTAGTATGAACATCTCTTTGAAACTTTCAAGATTTCTCAAAAAATCATTTTGACAGACTGCTATGCGAAGCGTACGGGTCACACTAAGGAGTAAATTTTCTCTTTAAAAGTGGTGGCACAGAGTTCCCCACGTCGTATGGATACGACAGTAAAACATGACGCATGGATAGGGTTAAAGCGACATACACTGGACATATTCAGAATGGAGGGGTTTCTTGAGGCAATTAGGGGGTAGGGTGGCCAATAGACAGTATTTTTGGAGTTTACATATCCTGAAAGGTGAAAATGAGCTTTACACTTAACCAAACGTCATCAAGGATATGTTCACACTTTTCAAGACGATCGGAGAATCATGAACACATTGACATGCTCTGATCCATGTTGTTGCGGCCTAGAGAATATGAAAATGGTATAGTCCTAGGTTCAGATAGAATCTGCCTTGAGAATGCAGACTGTTGAGGTGTAGGACACTCCTAGCTGTCAGCGGACAAATATCTCATGGGACTTAACTACTGTAAACTGCACTCTGGTTACATTTAAAGGGCTGCGAATGGTGTGTTTGACCTAGTGGTCATTTTGTTTAAGAACTTTTAGTTCTGATTCGCTAATTAGATCCAAACTGAGAGAACTTCTTTAATCATGATACCAAAGGTCTTGAGGGCACTTTAGCATTGATTCCATACCGTGCGTGGAACTGGCGATTGTCAGGGATGGTGAGTTGAAGGAGAGGTAATGTTCAATACAAAAAGCTCTCTGCTTTTACTAACCTTAACCATTTCATGAGACAAAGGAAATTTGGGAAAAACAATATCTGCAGACTGTTGGCTTGTTAGACTGCAGAAGCATGCAGCTTTTAGTGGAAGGGCAAGTGCGAACGGGTGTGTTATGCCACAAAAATGGGGACATGGTTGAAAATGGGTCAGGGTTTTTTTGTGTTTTTTGTTCGGATGTTTTTTTAAAGAGCGCCATAAAGAGCAAAGAGGATCCAGGTCTTCTTGAATAAGTGTCTAAGAAAGTTCCCGAGGATCAGATGGACAGACAGGGTCACCAACTAGGAAGTGTTAAGGAAAATTAGACAGATCCTAGTCAGAGATGAGGTAGGAAGAAGGGGGCGGCGATGGATAGGACATACTCTCAGGAAGTCAGGCAGCTGCATAACAAAGGAGGAGTTGGAATATAATTTATAATCCACAGGGTAAGAGATCAAGGGACAGACCATGTGGAACCTGAAGAAGAATCCTAGAAATTAATGTACAGAAAAGTGGGAAAACATGGAATAATATCAAGAGGCTAGCCCAGGACAGAGAAAGGTGGAAAGTGTTTGTCCTTGGCCTATACCCTGGTGAAGGGTGAGAAAGGCAATGATGATGATGATATAGAGCAAAAACCATTCTGTAGAATTATCTAAAATGAGTATCAGACAAATTTCTTTGGCTGCCAAATATTGTCTTCAAATTTGAAACGTACAACTTCAGTGCAGAGTAAAATATTTACAAAACAAGTTGTAAAGTTGGGGGGGGTTTTTTCCCCCTGTACAAATTAGACAAAATTTCGAGAAAGTAAGCAATATCTAAACTTTTTAATAGAAATGGGTTAAATTCTGCTTTTTCAGAACTAACAGTAATACATGTAATAAAATATGCAAACAATGTAATTCGGAAAGCATTTTTAAAAATAAAACAGAAATGAGAGCACTAATTTAATTAAATACAATCAAACTGCATCATATTTTATTCCTCTATTTAATGTAAATCCTAAGCAGAAAATAATCCACTAACTTGTTATGTTGATATTCCTTCACAAGATGAATGGACCGAGGGTGCAGGCCCGTACGTAAGAAGTCAGACCACACAGTCACATCTGAATCTAGGTGATAAGAGTGAGGGCCCGGTAGTTCTGCTTCAGACTTTGACGACTCTTCTGAATCATCGCAGTCTGTGTATCCAATGAAGGACAGGGTAAATTTTAAATTAAAAAATATATTCAATGTACCCATAATCATTACATTTTGTATATGTCTCCGACTCCGACTCTGTGCCAGCAGTCTAGAAGACAAAATCTCAAAGCCAGGTCGGTGCTTGACATTTTGTTCATCATAGAGTAAGCTCATTTAAATTTTCAATATACAGACCCTTATCCTGTCAAACCATAACATAGTGACTGCATATGGATCAATTTGCTTGTACTTGTCATCAAAAACAGTCCAGATGATAAACGTTTATCCCTCGAAAACTAATAAAACTTTTTATAATAACAAAGCCCAAATTGCAAAGTCCGAAAACTGTCACTTTTACGGAGAAGTCGACAGATACTAGAATTCACATATAAAACCATATGCCGTGGCGTCCACTTTAAACAAAATCTGCAGGATCGACAGATTTTCTTCAGATTAAGCAGGTTTTCGGTTTACAGAGATTGCTCAAATAGAAGGAAAAATCTGGGATTTTATTTTCTTTCGGTTTAGCATTGTTTTTTCTCAAATTTCAAAGGAAAAAAAGCAAGATTAAAATCATGAATCAGGCACAGAATAATCCCAACTTCAGTCAAATAAGTACAATGCTTATCCAGAAATTCAACAACATACATAATCCAAAGTTGGAGCTGCTAATATGAGACCCAGCTCCTCAACTGAAAGTAGCTGCAATATCATTACTAAATGTTCCTCCTCTACCTTTCATGAATGTCATCTGTTTATCACAATCTGTAATAACTTTGAGGGGCTAATATGTAACAATGTTAAGCTGCCATTTCGTTTTCCTTTCCTTCAACTTGTTCACTACAGTGTCAGGCTCACATACAAATGTCATTATATAAAGTACAGGTCCGACTGAAAGCAACAACCCCCCCCCACGATCATCCCACCCAAGCTTTCAGAATATGAATCAGTATGCATGCGTTCATCTCAATTCCTTTTTCAAATTTGCCAACACTTTCTCAAGAATACACCAGTATGTCATTATTTAGTCCGTTCTAATTCTGTATGCTTTAACTCCTTGTAATCTCAGAGATAAAAGAAGTAAGAGAGAACTCAATGAGAAAACCAATACTGAATACAAATGAAAATATTGCCCTTTTTCTTTTCAATTTAATCGATTCTGTACAACCTCTGCAAAACAAGCAGCTCTGGGAACCTGGGAACCTGATAGGTCATAGAATTAATTATATAAAATACAGTCTTGATCTTTCTGTGTGCAAACGTGAGTGCACGCAAGATGATTGTGAAACTGTGCCTGTGAGTGTGTGAACACACCATACACATCCACAAATAGTGACCTACCTTGCTTTCCAGTGTCAGGACCATCAGTATCGGATGTTTCTGCATCCTTCAGTTTACAACTCCTGTCACTGCTTGTCTCTTCTGCCTATATAGGCCACAAAAGAAATTCAGTCACTGTACAATATTTACATAAACTCATATCTGTTATTATTGAAGTGTGACACGGAGACTCTGTTATGAATGTGAAGTTAAACTTTCAGTCACCCAGAATTAAAGAGAATTCTCATACTCAATTGGCTATTGGAAAGTCCCCAGACAGCTTTTCTTTTCTCTCAATAACAACTGCTGGAAAATAAAGATTAACTTGAGCAAAATATATGAGGGAGATACACTAAAAATAAGAGGGTATTTGCATGTCAAATGAATTGTATTGCATTGAAAACGGCTTTTCTTGAACCTTGACTTAATGATATTCAGCTATTTTTCGCAAGAGCGTCTTCATCTACATACATGCGGAAATCTTTTAAGCATATTTTCAAAGAATTATTTGCTATACAACAGACACTCTATTAGATTAAATTACACGGATCGGATACCCAGGTGACTATACTAATCTATAATTATAATTCAATAGTAACAATAAATAACAAAGTATATTCCACACCTGATCCTCATACAGATCTTGTAAAAATTTGTTCTTTTCTGAAGCCTCAGTCTGATGCAGAGTCACATCCCCAAGCCTGCAGGGAAACAGAATATTTATACGCTAAAGTTTGAGCTTAGAAGAAGCTGCTGATGCATCGCAACACAGAAAAGTCAACACAGCCAGAACAAGTATAAAGGAATAAGTGAAAAAACAGGATCAACCATCCAAACAGCCCGAGCAAATGAAACAATATTTAAAAAGTAAATTTTATATACTGTCCCTACGGCAAAATGTCAAACCAAATAAAAGGCCTTCTTGACCTGATCTTCCCAAAGTAGAGTAGACCCTCAAACAAAGTGGCTCAGTATGATCGGATCAGATAAAAAAGAAATCAGTTCTGTTTATCAAAAATTTAAACTGCCAAATTTTAATAAATCTTCACTTTAGTGTTATTGGTTTCCTGAGCTAAAATAATGACTAACCAATGAACAGCGACTTGGCTCAAACTGACAGGCATAGGGTGAATCTTCTTACAATTTCATATTGAAAGGAAAACAGATTCAAGGTCTAAAGACGTTCCATAAATAGTAACCACATCAAAGCCAGAATAAAGTGCCACAAACTTCTCTGGCAATTGCTTTCGGTCACCTTGGAAGGACATCAAAATCAAACTCAAATTTCAATTAAAGTGGTAGTCTCTTTTGTTTTAAATTTGATGACCAAATCCTCACCACTGAATATTCTCTTCACTGCTGGCGCCATACAGAGTGCCTTCCCTCCGGAGAGAGCCCAGGCTTCCATGGAGATCAACAAGTACTAGTCTAGGTGTGAATGTGGTGTGTCCCTGTATAGAACAGAAGCAAAAATACATTATATGATGCTATTTTTTTCACAGAGAGAAACAACCCAGTCATCAGTTTCAAGTGCACTTGCCTTTGAAGGTACCAAAAAGTTATGTGAAAACCCTTAATTCAACAAAGCACTTCCACAGCAGTTTATAAATAGCAATAATACATTCATAACAACACACTTCTTTATTCAGATTGTACAGCATGTGGCAAAATGGTCACATAGCATGAAAAAATATGGCACACAAGAATTTAAGATGACCTCAGAAATATTTGTCATCAGCACTTTCAATAAGACAATGTCTGAATTAGGGTCTCCCTAAAAGAGTTACACTAAATGCATGAGGAAAAAAATTAAGAAAAACAGCTTTCACGCACTCACACCATAATGAGCAAATACAAACATATGAAGAAAATCACTAGGATTATCATCTATCTAGGGAATTAACTGCTGATCCTCATCACAGGTGACCTCTTGTTGCACTTTCACGCATTATAACTATAACAAAACAAAACAAAAGTAAAACAAAGCTTAACAAAATTAACACTTACAGATATAGTTTTCCCTTCTCTGAAGAGGACATCATGGTTCACTTCTTTGGGAAAAGTGCTCAGAAGTTGGGGGTCATACACAAATGAAGATTCCTACAAGATAAACAACAAAACACAGAGTCAAAACACAACAAATGTTCATGAAGGCCTGGTCAATGTGCAATCACAGGAGTGATTTACAATCCATGGATAACAGAATGTTCAAAGTATTATCATCAAAGTCAAAGGGAGGCACAACCAGTACATGATAATCCAATTTCGAGGACAAAGTATAATTTTATTTAGTACAATAGACCTCGTGGTCAGTCTACTAAAACACCTTTCTGAGGCCTGACTGGATCCTTGAGACTTGAGGCAGGCCAGTGACTATCACCACTGAAATGTGAACATATCTCAAATATCTGCCTATCATATAAAGTATAAAGCTACATACAATAAATTAGGATATAATATAATTTCTACAATCTCTCTATATATTATATTTGTGGAAGTTTGTCACTTTGGCCGCCTAAAACTTCCGAACCATTTAACTTTCCAAAAATTAATGGTGGTTCAGAATCATTTAAAGGGTGCACAGTTTTATTGAGGAGCCTGAAGTAACTGTAGTTTAATTTTCAGATTTTCATTAGTTTTGTTTAGATGTAATCTTGGGAAAGTCTGTCTTCTAAGACGTCATTGTAAACAAGTGAGGTATCCGTTCACTAGCTGGGCGCACTGATTCCACACCTTTGAAATTCTGGAGTGTACAACCACGAAAGTGGAATAAATAATCAATCTATACATCTATCATATATTTTTGGCAACTTGGAAACACATCATGTGTCACTTCATCGTCCATAACAAAAACTAGCATAAGCGACATTTTGCAAATTTTTCAGGAGAGCAGTTTGAAGTTTTTGGTGACACTGTAACTTCTATAGTAAGATAAGTTTCTGTCTGAATTTGATAAATTTTGGACACATTATGTTTTTTTATGCTTACTTCATGTACATAATGTGCAGTTCTGAAAAAAAGTGTATATTTTTTAAGATTATTTGTTCTTTGAGAGATACGCTAGTACGTGATACCTAAAAAAAATAGATTTCTTGGCTAGCTAGTTTGTCGCTTACGCTATTTTTGGTGGATACGCTAGTCTTAGTTTTAGTAGAGGTTTTATGGTGCTTGCAACTGCATAAGGTCAAGGGATGGATGTCAAAAAAGAAGTCCTTACAGGGAATCAGACTTACTCTGCTCACCTCTCTAGCTTCAACAGCACGAAGTCTGCTTCAACTATCAAGGCACCCCGGAAATAGCTGGTCACAAGAGTGTGACAAACATACAAAAGAAGTACAGGAAATGACGATAGTAAGGATTACGAAAGAAAAAGCAGCAGTTCCCTGTTGTAGTTCAGGCACAGTTATGAGCATGACATTGTAATTGTTGGATCAGCGCATTTACAATTCTACTGTGCATTAGAATGAGAAATGTTCCCCCTTTGAGAATGGGCCTAAAGACACTTCAGTCAGTGGCACTGCCCCGGGGGTTGTACGCTAGTCTGTGATATCATTTTGTTGAAGAACCATAACTTTTTGTGACACTTGTGCTATTTAGGAGTACAAAGTATCCAACAACATATTTATTATAACAGAAAATGATCTCAAGAAATCTTTTCAAGTAGAAGTTTAATTTTATATCTAGATCTAGAAAATAGCAACAATTTCAACAGGAAAGCGAGCACCTAGCTCATGAAGACTGAAACCAAGAATAATTCAAGAACTTATTCAATCTTAACTAACAGGGCATAGAGTTTCTACTCTACAGTAATGAGAGAACATTATGTACGTAACAAATAACGTCCAAATTCTGTAGGACTTTATGCTAATTCAGGATAGGAGTAGATCTATAGCATAAAGCTCCGGAACGGGGGGATTATTGATTTTTTTTTAAGGTACAGTCAGGGGGAGGGGTGGGGTTGAAGGCAACATCAGATGACAAATACTGAACTTGGAAGCAAATTTTAGTATTTAGAATTTTGATATTACTAGAGCTTCCTGCTACAGAAAAGCGTGCATTGGTGCAAGCCCTGTACGGAATTGGGATCCGTCATACTCATACCTAGTAAGCCGTGTTTTTTAACCAAAAGGTCCGCGTTTCATAGGATGGGTGATAGTCTTGGATCTCCTTGGTGATAGTACATTTGTTTCATTGTCCTTTGTTTTAAGAGAGGTATGACCTCATCAAGTGCATACTTTTTTATTCTCTCTCTCTCTCTCTCTCTCTCTGTCTCTCTCTCTCTGTCTCTCTTTTCCTTCCTCTCTCTCTCCCTCTCCCTCTCTCTGTTTTCTGAGTCTCGTTCTCTCTCTCTCGTGATAGTATTACATGTTTTGTAAACATCTATATTTTACCTTCGCAGATTTTCAGTTTCAGTGTCACTGCATTTTGCCCTCCCTTAGGAAAGATGACAGGGGGTGGATTGGGATCATTTTTGGGATTACATTCCCCTCACAACACTCAAAAAAGCTGAGTGAAAAAGGAAAAAGGTCAAGGTCATGAAGAGAGCGAAGCAGTCACCGTGCACCTAGCTCAAGCCCCCCCCCCCTGCCCACGAAAAAAAATACCCGGTTACCGTGTTCGTAGATAATGAGAGGCGCCCGGTTGCTGTTTACCGTGTACGTAGATATTGAGGCTACGCGCCCGGTTACGGTGTATGTGACATTGAGACTACACACCCGGTTACCGTGTACATAGATATTGAGGCTACGTGCCCGGTTACCGTGTGTGTGACATTGAGACTAAACGGCGAAAAAGGAAAAAGGTCAAGGTTATGAAGGGAGCAAAGCAGTTACCGTGCACCTAGTTCAATCCCCCCCACGAAACTAAATACACGGTTACTAGTGGTGGGCCAAGAATCGATTCCAGAACCGATTCCTGTGATTACTGCTTCTGAGAAAAAGAACCGATCCCTTTTTCATAAACTAACGATTCTCAATTACTCTATTTTTATCTTATTTTTTCTTCAAAGAATGTATTTTTTTTAGAAAAAAAATATTGGTGCTTTGCTATGTTCTGAAATCGAAGTTATCCTGAATCTTGAACACTTAAGAAAGAGTAGTCGGGATGCAAAGTCATTGTCAAAGATTATATCGATCTGGTATACAGTGTCAAAACTTATTCGTTGCTTTCGCCTTTTTCTCATTCATCTGTTGTTGTTTTTAAATTATAATAATATTCCCTTTTCTTTCAATTCAAAATCTAAAACTAACGTCTACCCACGCGGCCGTATATTATACACTCTCATTTCTAGGTGTAGGTCAGTGTTGGTCTCTGACTTCATACTGTAGAGACTGGGTTGGGTAGTGCCTGGGGTAGCGCCCTCCCACCCCAAGTAATCAAAGGGATCAGACTAACCGTTACTCGCCGGATGTAATTGCTGGGTTCGGAATAATTGCTACTCGCCGGAAGTAGTCATAGGTATCGGGACTCAGCGGAAATAATTGCTGGGTTCGGAGTAATTGCTACTCGTCGGAAGTAGTCATAGGTATCGGGACTCCGCGGAAATAATTGCTGGGGTCGGAGTAATTGCTACTCGCCGGAAATAATTGCAGGTGTCGGACTAGCTGGGAGTAATTGCAAGGGTCGGACTAATTGCTATTCGCCGGAGGTCATTGCAGGGGTCGGGCTAACTGCTAGTCGCTGCATATACAATCATAATACTGGGTACGGGTCGAAACCACTGGAAGAAATCATAGAGCCACTGGAAGAAATCACATCACTGGCTATAAAAAAAAGTAATTGGGTACGGCGCCGATTCCTACGATTCCTAGCCGTTATATTCGGGAATCTACAGTTACCGAAAAAAACAGGAATCGCCCACCTCTACCGGTTACCCTGTTCGTAGATAATGAGAGGCGCCCGGTTGCCGGTTACCATGTACGTAGATATTGAGGCTACCCGCCCGGTTACCGTGCGTGTGACATTGAGATTACACGCTGAAAAAGGAAAAAAAGTCAACGTCATGAAGGTGAGCAAAGCTGTTACCGTGCACCGTGCGTGCATCTAGCTCAAGCCCCCTTCCGCAACCCCCACCCCCGAAACTAAGTACACGGTTACCGTGTACGTAGATATTGAGGCTACGCGCAAGGTTACCGTGATGCGACATTGAGACTACACGATGAAAAGGGAAAAATTAATGTCAACGTCATGAAGGGAGCAAAGCAGTTACCGTGCACCTAGCTCAAGCCCCCCCCCCACGAAACTAAATACCCGCTTACCGTGTTTGTAGATAATGAGAGGCGCCCGGTTGCCAGTTACTGTATACGTAGATATTGAGGCTACGCGCGTGGTTACCATGTATGTGACATTGAGACTACACACGCCCGGTTGCCGGTTACCGGATGTACATAGCCCGTAGACACTGAGGCTACCTTATGGGTACTACTTAAGAATCTGAGTCCCGTTTTGGGACATTAGTTTTGACCCCACCGACGATTATTTCTGGTTCTAAATGATTACTTTTTGATGAGTGGGCCGATATGGAGAGATAGCCTATTACAAACCTAGGTTAATTGTAAAATATCAAATTATGTTCAAATTCAGGGGGACATGCCCCCCTGACCCCCCCCCCCTTCCATGTTTTTGTTTGCCCCCCTGAAACCCCCCTTCCCTTGTTCATCACTAGAATCTAGTGAATTTTAACGCTCATTTTGTAGGCTGGATCTAGATCTAGATCTACTGATACAACATCGATACCGAATATTTTTGTCAGTATCGATATCCAGTACTCTGTGTGGATAATGCCTAGTCTAAACAGACGGGACCCAGATTCTTAAGTTGTACCACCTTACGTGCCCGGTTACCGTGACCGTGTAGCCGTGTACGTAGACACTGAGGCTACGTGTCCGGTTACCGTGTACCAATGATAGTACATAACAAGATGGGCCACTTCTCTCTTTGAGCCAATTAAAAAAGTGTCCTCAAAATTTGGTGGCGCCCTCTTCACAAAAGCGCACTTTTGCGAACAGAGTTACCCTACTTGAGTTTTAAAAAATGAAAGTGAAACTAGCAAGTTTTGGGATAAATTACGGAAGAAAACTTTTTTTAAATGGTTACGCTGACAAAAAACCTCTTCCGGAGAAAAGGGTGATGGTTTTCTTCGATTAATTTGACTTTAGAATGAAAGGCGAGAGGTCATTAAAATAAAAAAAACCCTAAAACTCCGCACTGAACGTACCCGAACTGCTGATGAACAGCAGTCGATCTGCGCACGCAAGGAGGTGTTATTCCTATTCTTCTTCTGTAAAAACGAAAGAGAGCTTCAAAACAGACTGCAGCGCCATCTGAAGCAAAGAGCATACTTCCTGCGGACACTTTTTTGGCTGAGTGGCCCATCTTGTCATTCACTATCTTTGCGTGTACGTAGACACTCCGTTGTTAGATTCTAGATCTGGATTCTAGATCTAGATATATCTAGATTAGATAAGCCATAAGCTGACAACTAGAATTTACTAGATACTAGATTCTAGAATCTAGACTAGATCTAGATCTAGATCTAGATCTAGAATATAGATCTAGATCTAGATCTAGATCTAGATTCTAGATCTAGATCTAGATTTAGATCTAGATTCTAGATATATTTTTTCTAGAGAATCAAGATCAAGAATCTATGCCGTAGGCAGATAAACTTACCTGAACATTCCACCAGTGAGTCCCAACAAAATTTGAGTAGTGGCCAAATTGAAGGGTAACAATTTCTCGTACCGACATAATTTTGCATAAAGCGTGTAAAACTCGTTCAACACTTGAGATCAGATATCGCTTTGTTGATGTTACAGGGCGCAGACATGTTTGTCAGGGGAACTCACTCCAAGTAAAGAGTTGAGAAGCCTCAGAGAAGCATCAGTTTCAAGTTATGCCGGTTATTTCCCCTTATATAGATCTAGTTACATTTTTTTTCAGGAATGTCGACACAAATCAACAAAGTGATTTAAAAAAGGGGGTAGAACAAGGAGATCAGAGAGAGTATTATGTAGTTTTAATAACAATTTTACGGCGCTCGCAACAGCATAAGGTCATATTATGAGCGCGCGAAACACAAGTTGGTCTCATTCACAACAGTTTAAAATTTTGAGGTAAAATAACAATCTTAAAAATGGTAATTCGCTCAAAAATCAAAATGTATGTATTTACAATTTTCCATAAAGGCTAATATGGCTATTATAAAATCAAGGATTCTGTTGGGATCAACGACGGAAAACATCTTGCAATTTTTTGCATCTAAATAAATATTTCCTTCGGGTCTCTCCAAAGTCTAGACATTCTGTTAAAATATGTCTTATAGTAAAATATGTGTCGCTTCCGACACAGAACGGTTTCTCATCTCGCTGAAGGAGATATTTGTGTGTCAGGGACGTGTGTCCGAAGCGTAATCGAGTAAAAATGACTTCGTCTCTTCTGGAGAGGCCCGATCGAAGGATTTAGCGGACTTACTTTGGGCTTGATGTTAGTTTATTGTTTTCTTTTTTTTTTTCAATGTGAATAAGTCTCCCACAGACTGGAGGCCAAGACTGATTCTGTCTTGGCTGGAGATGTAGTTTTTAACTTTATTTTTAAAGTCAGTCTGTGGGAGAGTGTAACGTCGTTGATCCCAACAGAAAGGACAAGGATTCTTTCGTCAGGAGGTCCACAATTCTGTCCCCGTAGGATTATGCGATTGTGCGGCCTTGGCGCGGCCGCGTTTTTTCGCTTAATTCTGCAACATTTGCATAATTTTGGATTCCCTGCGTTTTTTCCAGGGTTTTTTTTTGGGGGGGGGGGTGTTCATATTTTTACAATATTTAGCTCCTCCGTTTGACTGAAGGGAAGTAATCACCATAATAGGTCTCATTTAAGTGATAAGTTGGTTATTTCCCTTGTTAAAAGATCTTGGCTAGGTTATGGGTTAATGATTTTGTTCCTTGAGTTTGAGCCTTGAGCATGTTCAATTTTTCAATCCACCAAAAGTTGTTCTCAAGTCTGCTGATGTTTCATGTTTGACAGGTGTCCCTGATTTAAGTGATGTGGTCAGTAGTCCAGATGTCTTCTTTTTTTCTGGTACTTTTTTCTTTCCTCTATCGATCTACAGCTGAAAGTTACAGAGATTGTTTTTTTTGTGTTTTTTTTGTTTTGTTTTTAAATGATGCGTATTGTTTTCTTTCCAAATATAAAACAGATTACTGATACTGATATGTTCTGATTTCAATTTTTCTGTATAAAACATGAAAATTCTTCTTGAAAAAGGGCAAAACATGTCGCGAATGGCATTACGGTAACTTGCATAATTTTTGCATAATTTTGCATTTTTCTTGCATAATTTGGTCATCTAAATTTGCACAATTCTACGGGGACAGACAATTGCTCGTTTCCTCGGATGTCCACATGGTAGCCACGCGAACGCGATACTTTTCCCGGTTTCAGCCAAAGCTCATTTCTTCGGCATTTGTGTTGTATCCTAACAATTTTTTGGTATAAGAGTGTTATAGTTTGTAAGTGAGGTGATGCAAAACAGCGAGAGTCCGGTAGGATAAGGAAAGATTTATTAGTAGAATTTTCTACGGAGTCCAGTGCAATGTCAATGGCCGTGGCCTCCGCAGAGAAAATGGAAGCTTCGGGATGGAGTCTCGTCTGGTGTGTACTGTTTGAGGATAGGGCAGCGGCGCCCGATTTAGAATTTAGAGTTAGAGCCATCTGTGGAGTATTTTTCTATAAGTTTTGTGTATTCTGCTTTACATGTTTTGGTGTTTGTGCTTGCTTTGGTGAGAGTGGTCAGCTGTAAGTAAGTCTATTTTTGCCTTGGTGAGGTGCCACGGAAGGAGTTCGGGGAACAGAAATTGTTGGATGTCTCGTCTTGTTTGGAAAAGTGTATGTTTTTAATTTATAAGGTCCGTAAGGACTCTGATGCTGAAGGGTTTTATGAGTTTTTCGTTGTTTTGGAATGTGTTTATGGGGTCGGATTTGTTCTGAAAATATACAGTCGTGAGCTGGGTCCTCTGGTGTTGAGCTTTGTTTGATTGTTTATTATTTATATATTGTAGTAGGAGTTGTGTGCGTCTGATTGTGAGTGATGGTATGTTTGCCTCGTCCTGGAGGCTCTTCACCGGAGAAGTGCGGGCCCCCAGGGTGAGGCGGAGCCCTTGGTTTTGCACTGGGTTTAGCATTTCATTTTTAAGACGTGGGGTTTTGCTGATCCATAGAGACCTGACAGCCGAAGCCAAGCCTGGATCGGACAAGGGAAATGTATACGGTACCCGGTAGGTGGAGAAGGTGTTTTGAGTCCCCGCCCCACTCCGGATGAGAGAAAACTTTTAAAGCATTTAACTCTCTCTGGCACCTCACACGGAGGTCTTTTATGTGTGGGATGAATGTGGGTTTCTTGTCAAATATAGTGCCGAAGAAATGAGCCTGGTTCTGGACGGGGAATCCTTTTCCCGTATAGATGTAGTGTCAAATCCGGTTGCAGTACACGTCTGCCTGATCGGCAGATGTGTACTGCAACAAACTTTGACGGGAAAAACCTAAAGCCGTAATATATTATTTGCCCACTTTTCAATTTTGTGCAGCTGCCTTTCCATAGATCTTAGTTGAGGGTTTTTCAAACTGCAGCATATCAAGAAGTTGTCAACGTAAAACGGGCTGTCTATGCTATTTTGGAGGGTCTTACCGAAGGAATCTATTTTGATTTCGAATAGGAGAGGAGAAAGGATGCTTCCCAGGTGGAAACCTTCCTCCTGACACCCCTGTTGGTGGAGGTTTGAAAGTGAGGATCCAACACGAACCTGGAAGGAACGATTCTTCAGGAAATTGCCAATGAAGACAGGGAGGTGACCGTGTATGCCGAGAGCGTGCAGGTCTCTGCTGCTGAGAATACCGTACTTCCAGGTTGCGTCGAAGGTTTTTTCTAGGTAAAAAAAAAGATGGCGATCATGTGGCCTCCATCGGCAAACGTCTGGCGTATAAAAGTCTCCAGGCGGACCAGAGAGAGAGAGAGAGAGAGAGAGAGAGAGAGAGAGAGAGAGAGAGAGAGAGAGAGAGAGAGAGAGAGAGAGAGAGAGAGAGATGCATGCAGGAAGAAAATACAGTATCTAAAGTAGACTAAAGCAGCGGGACATCAACATTTTCCCTTGACCATCGCACTGAACATTTACATATTTCTTTCGCTTTTTTGTGTGTGAAAAAGGGGGGGGGGGTGCGTTGTAAGATGAAAGCTGCAACAAAGTAACAAAAGAATGGAATAATAATAACTCGATACACAATTCTTTCTAGTTTCTAGTTTCACAGGGTGGGACAATCATTGCTACACAGTTTAATCAAATGATACTAGTACTGGTTAACTGGGGTAGGTAGCACTTAAAACACTAAAGCTTGCGTGTTTTCTTTTAATCACCAAGAGGCCGAGCAGTAAAGCTTATCTTGCAAGTCAGAAGTGTCGCATTCCAATAAACACCTGATTTCAGAAACTTGAAAGAGGAATGGCTTCATTCGCCTTTGGGAACAAATTTCATTCCAACAGCTGCAACCTGACGACAGAGTCGGAAAATTTGATGGACCGTCGAAATGTCATGTGTCATCGTTTGGTGAGTGGTTGTGAGTTGTGGAGTATAATATGATACATGTATGAATAAATGGGACAGTAACTTCCGTTCTTATTCCTGCACTCTCTCTCTCTCAATGTGTGTGTGTGTGGGGGGGGGGGGGGGTTGAAAAGTGCTTCCCATGCTGATACTCATAGTAGGTGTCAACCAAAGACAAATCCTACTAACAGTAACAGGCCTACTTGAAGTCTTCACCCCCCCCCCCCCCCCTCTTTTTTTGACCATTCGTCACATGACCTGTGAGGAAACTAAGAGGTGGTTGGTTGTTTGTTTATAATGGAGTTGGGAATTTTACAACACATAGACACATAATGCAACCATGTCAGTGTCAGGTGCAAGCAATGCCACATTCCCAGATGCTCAAGATCAATATATCAATTTGTTTGATATCGCTGGTTCCACTAGTTGCACTGTCGGCAGGTCTTGTTTCACCCGGCTAAAAGTAAAAGACACTTTTTATTAATCGATCTACCAGACACAGTAAGTCATACCATTTGAAGTTTGATGGACTTGACTAACACTAACACTCAGTCAGCAAGCATGAGCACCCAGCTGAGATAAAGGGCTCACGGAGGAAGGAAAGAGGGGCTATACTTAGGAAGGCATCAACCACTATTCCCGTTTTAGTGTTTCAATTTCAGCCCAAAAACTGACTGCAACAATTTAATACATGTACCTTCACACCAACTTCTCTCAAACACACAACCACCATCAGACCCTGCTGCCTATCACACGTGCACATATGTTTAAATTTCAGACAGAGGTGATGCACAGTAATAATAAAGTGAGAGAAAAACAATACAAGATCGAACCCAGTGACTCTGACGTTTCCAGCCCTTGTGCTTTTGGGTGCCACAGTATAGAAATATATGTATTTTTAAGGAAAATTATGCAAGCTGGGGACACCCCAGGAAATGACCAATGAGCTATACCATTGTGTTACTCCAACACGTACAACATACGTCCTTTATTGTTTGACCTTTATCTTTCACTCGACCTTCAACCTGTATTCGGGTTTTTTGTCGACCACTGTTGAAATCATACCTCCAGCAGGGATATTTTATTACAAGACACCCCTCCTCCTTTTGTTTTCTTTCTATCCTAAAATTCACCATGCATCAAATGTATGTTAGGTGTAGCATTTCTCATGTTGACGCGTACTCACTGATACGGAGACGAAAAAGTAAAGTCAGGGGAAAATCTATGACAAGAAGTGAATGTTTCCACTAAGCAGCCAAGTTGACTGTTCTGTAATACATGTATGAACTAAGATTTGCCACACATCATACTGCTTGACTCAGTACAGTGCTACAAAAAGTCATATATGTTCTTTCCTCCTCAAACATAGCTCTAGTAAAAAAAAACAAAAAAAAACTAGAGCATTATTGAACTACAATATACACATGTATGATTTCTTTTAATAAGTCACGGACTCTTAATAATTCCAACACAACAACCAAATAAATTAAAAGTAAAATGTTTTTATTGAAAAATTGATTGGATCACAAAAAATAACGCTGCAACAAAGTAACAAAGACATGGCATAATAATAACTCGATACACAAGCAAGAAGGCTACTATGTCAGCTTAGGTTTACCCTGAACCACTTCAATAACATTTTGCAACTCATGATGACATTGATTTATTATTGTGCTTCACAATAACACATAATAATTGTTACACGAAGTTAAAATTTTTCCTCATCATCCCAAGAATGATGTTTGTATCCTCATCTCATTTACCTACACTTTGAAAAAATGCAGCATTATTGTCTATGAATGCTTGACTGCCACCCAGTTCCCCCTTTGGAAGTCAACTCTGAGAAATTATGAACAATTCAACATGTCCATTTGCACCACAAACAAACTCTTTAATGATATAAACCAGAAGAAATAATGTGTAGGAACAAGCACAGTATGAAAAACTTGCACAACGAATTTATCAGCATCAGCTGTGAAAAATAGAGATCAAACACGACTCACACTAAATAGCTCATCATCATACTAAGAACACTAGAACTGCTGCATACAAGAACACTAGAACTGCTGCATACAATACAAAGGAAAATGGTATTATTTGTAAAGGACATCAAACTGCACACCCATTTTTTGCAACAACAACAGAAACAGAGACTTAGGTATCCATTTCATGTTTCTTACATTTCTATTGTTCTTTTCAAATCAGGTCTGTCGTAATAAAACTCAAAGGCTTGTCCACAAATACCACGGTAGTCATTTAGAAGCTCTACTAAACCTGGACCTCCCCCCAGCTACATGGCTCAGAAATGTCAAAAAGTTGTCAAGAAAAATGAAATGATACACTATGTGGGACATCAGGCTGGCAAGGCATTGAAAATTGGGATGAAAGTCAATAGTAGAAATCAAAAACAAATTTCAATGGGCAAACTATACTATAGCACAATGTTACAAATGTATACATGTAGCCTACATGTACTAACATTGAACATTCCATAAAAAGCAAGCCAACTTTTCACTTATAGCTTGCCTCTCAAACTTGGTGACCGTTGCATCATCATTATGTAAACTCGATATATGCATGCAGAGAAATCTTTCCATACCCAAAGAGTATATGCAAAACATTTCATAACACTGCAGTATGTGAAACTAATTAAACAAGAGTATAAAAAATGTATACCAGTGTCTGAGGTGGTAGTGGTATAGTGGTAGTGTTTTGCTGTCGCATGCAGAAGATCCCTGTGGGGATAATTTCAATTGGGTATTTCCGTCTTTCTGCTGGGACGTGGTATCAGTTTCAGCCCCAGTTGGTCCTGACTGGCAGTCAAATGTGTGCATTAAATTTTGCTTAAAGTAGACAACATAGGTAAACTCTAGCAATACAAGTATACAAAACAGGGTTCTTTCAACAACAACAACCCCCCCACCTCCCAAAAAACAAAACAAGTGGTACCTGTTAAGAAGCCAGACTGGGGAAGACGTACTCATACTTTAGCTTTCATTGAAACAAAAAACTTTTGCAAAATTTATTCAATACACACAAAGACCACTGGAGGAAACCAGATATATCCCAAATTCTCACTTTCTGAGTTTTTGCCCTTATATGAACCTGAAGTGACTATTTTTTTTGCCTACTTTCTGAATCAAATCAATGAAAGAAATAGATAACTACTGTCTTGGAAAAAATACCAGCACAATGGAAAAAACAAGATAAATCCAAGGGTCAGTGGAAGAAACATACAATTTTAAAACTTTTGTGCATGAATATATACAGATTTAAAAATCAATGGAAGAAAGTGACATGACAAAAAATATGCCTTTCCACTTTGTGGGCACTTTCTACATTGACCTACAAGGCTGTTCTTTTTTTCGTGGATGCAACATTCATTTGAAGGCCTACATGTGTGCTACAATGGAGGCACCCACTAGGAAGTTGAAGGCAAGGAATTTAAAAGACATACCTAATGCAAGAAATCTGAAAAAAGACGTTTATCATAAAAGCTGAGTCTCTGAAAGTAGCATTTGAATTGTGAAGGTATATTTGACTAGCTGGAATAGGACAATCATTTATGACTTAGTTTATGTGAACTTTTATCATCGACAATAACATTGTATGCAAGCATTATTGTATCATAAATAATACCTTGCCTGTTACTTTTTTCTTTCCAAAGAACAAAGTGAAGTCCCTTCGAGACTACTTTGTGACAGAATACAATAGAAGGCCTGTGGCAAGATCAGAAGACGCTGCAAGTAATCACTCACATTCAAAATGGCAGTTTTTCAGTCAGCTTCTCTATATTTCATTTCTATTTTTTTCAGACAGGAGCTTTAAATGAGGATGTAAAGCAAAGATTCGGCTAGCTGCTGACTACAAAGAGGGTATCTGCAAACTTTGTGTTGTGTTTCTAACCTGCATTCTCAACCATTCTAATCACATTGTTGGGCCAGAAGAAGGTATTTGTGAGGCCGCCAGGGATTTTCAGTCGCAAGTCGCGCTGACCGCTTTCGAGATATCGGCTTCTAAAGTCAAAATATCGATATTTTATGGAAATTGAGTTTTTGCTTTCATTGTGTTCTTTGTCCATTTTTCTATGTTCTGGTGAAATAAAAAAACTGCTAAAACGAGATATAAATGTGTTCTTTTCTTGTTTTACTGAACCCACTTCATAGGAATTTGAGGACAGTTTTCTCGAAATGTACGCTAATTTCCTTCTGCCGATAGACCACAATGAACATAATTTTGTTCAAGCATTCCTTGCAATAAATATCGAGTATTTGGTATCGTTGGAAAGGTAATTCCTTGTAGATTTTAACTGCAGGAAGTGCTCATGAATACACACAACACAGAAGAGTGTAGATCCTATCAATGGCGTTGGTTCTGTTTCAGAGGCAAATACAAATCAGTGTGTAATTCTTTGACGATTCTAGCGACTGGGAGAACAATTGTCAGACATATTTTGCACAGCGAGCTGCTTTTTTTAATCAATTTAACCATTGGACATATTGAGTGCTGTTATTGTCCTCGAAACCAAGTGTTTTAAAAAGTTTTCTGTGACCACGCTGAATGCGTTCATTTTTCACTCATTCCGAACTCTATAAGATGGAGTCAGGTCGAAACGCGGGCTTAGATCTACAAACTGGATTGACAACAAACAGTGTTACTGGTATACCACAACAGCTGAACAGATATAATTTCTGTAGTAGCAATGCAGACGATAAGCAGGCGCTACTTGAACATATTAACGAGTACTTGTCCCCTGAAAGCGATGTGGAACACAGTGACAGTGACTCAGACCCTGAGAACAACCTCCAAAATCTAGACAGGTCTGCTGAATCTGCTGCCACTGCAGGACAACACCCCTCTTCTGATACAGGTAAATTCATTTTGAAGTGCGTAAATCTAGGTCTAATTAATAATAATGACTAGATCTACTGCATTAAATGATTGTAAGATTAAAATTTTGAGAGGACCTCTGTGTAATGAGTGACCACTCTGATTATAAGTAACTTTTAATGAAAGGAGAGGGTCAGGTTTACGTAGGATTAGTGTTCTAGGTTCAAGGTTAGGGATAGGGTTAGGTAAAGTTACGATAAGGGATTATTTATCTTAATTGATCCCTTTTTCCCCGTGTCTATCGGAGTGGTCGCTTGTTACGAAAGTTCCTCCTACGTTTTAATTAACGAGGACATCAGTTTTGGTTTTTCGTAATTGAGACAAAAGGTGTGTTTCGACTGTGTTGTAATTCTGCTAGCCTAAACAGTTGAATGCTACTTTTACTTTTCATAGATCTAGATCTAGTTTATTGGAAATTGTATAACATTAACATCTTGAGTTTATAGATGAGACACAAGAATAGCAATGAAATTAAAATTTAGTGGTGCGATCCAAGTTTAGTCTTAAGCACTAGCCCAAAATTCAATTTCAGGACGAAGCGAAGAAAATCCACCTTTTCTAAAACATACCTCAACTCAATACATCATAATAGATTGTAAAGCGCTTTGAACCTTATGAGGAAAGTGTTGTGTAGATCCATGAGCAATTCATAACAATTTTTACCTTTAGTCGATACATCAACATGATAACTGCTTGTCTATTTGTAATGGCACTTGGCTTGTTGGCATAGTGTTCCAGAATGTTGCGACTACCTTTTGCCTTTGTGATTACTTAGAGCACCCTTTCCTGTTCTCTTCATCAGATGATAAAGACGAGGAGCCTGTGACCTTCACTCCCATTGAAAACCTGTCGAGCTTTCTCCCAGGAACTGGAACTAGACCAACAAATGAGACAGAGCTCACTTCACGAAAGAAGTCAGCGCAGCTTGCTTGCAAATGCAGCCTTTTCAACGGAAAACCGTGCCGGACAAGATATGCAGAAGAGGAGTTGGACGAGGTGAGGAGTCAGTTCATCGCACTGACTGACCAGGAGTTAGACATGGTGGTGTTGGGAAAGATTGAGTGTGGGATGCACCTTTCCAGTACTACAAAGTGTGCAAGGAGGCGAGAACAGACCGAACAAAAACTTACTCACACGCATTTTTTTCATCGTGGTCACCCAATCTGTCGTGAAATGTTCAAGTATATTCATGGAATATCACAGGATAAACTCACAGCGCTTTTGAAGCATTATAAGTCTTCTGGCATTACACCACGCGTTCACAAGAACACCAAGAGGTTGCCTCCAAACACACTGGCCTACAGGGATGTAGAGCGAGTAGTGTTGTTTATCACCAACTATGCTGGGACGCATGCCATTTCACTACCTGGCCGCACCCCAAAACACTGGAACAGCAACCTCAGACTTTTACCAACAAACTGCAGCAAGAAGATGGTGTCCGATAAGTATGTCGCCTCTTCAGCACCTGATCAGCGGGTTGCAAGCCTTACTCAGTTTCGGGACGTCTGGAAAAAAATCGTGCCATTCATCAGCACCATGCGGCCTGCTACAGATCTTTGCTGGACTTGTCAGGAAGGAGCTGCTCAGGTTGCAAGGTCCAGAAACCTGTCAGAGGAGCTAAAGTCTGATGCCCTGAGGTCCATGGAACAGCACTTGACCAATGTCACAGCCGAGCGCTCTTATCTGAACAGCATTGTGGGCAAGTCGAAAGAAGCACTTCACGGAGAAAAAAGGACTCTGGGTAAAAACCAAGCATGTTCGCATGACATGACTATGCACTACAGCTTTGACTTTGCACAGCAGGTGCATTTTCCTTCAGACCCCCTCCAGCGTGGACCCATTTATTTTAAGACACCACGGAAATGCGGCCCATTCGGAATTTGTTGCGAAGCAGTTCCGCAGCAGGTAAACTACCTGATTGATGAATCTGTGTGTGTTGGAAAAGGGGCAAATTGTGTCATCTCCCTCCTCCATCATTTTTTTGAGTTCTACGGTTTGGGGGAGAAGCACCTCCATCTGCATGCAGACAACTGCTCAGGCCAAAACAAAAACTCGGCTATGATGCAATATCTCATGTGGCGTGTGCTGACTAGCCGTCATGACTCTGTTATAATTTCCTTTTTGATTACCGGCCACACGAAGTTCAGCCCTGATGGCCGTTTTGGACTTGTAAAGTGCCTGTATCGCAGAACGAAAGTGAACAGCCTGCAGTGCCTTGCTAAAGTTGAGGAGGAATCGTCGGTAGTAAACACAGCCCAGATCGTCGGAACCAGACCGGACAATGTGAACGTCGTTTCATATAAATGGGACTCATTTCTGGATAAGCATTTCAAAAAGGTAAAAAACATCAAGTCTTTCCAGCATATGACAATCAGCGACACATCTGGTACCGTGGCACTCAAACCTCTCGCCTGCTCTGAGCCAGTGTTGCAGCACCTTTTGAAATGTGACACCGAGATTGACCCCACCCTCCTCCCCCCTATCTTACAGCCACAGGGACTTGACAGAAAAAGACAGGACTATCTTTTCAAGGAGATTAGACCTTTTGTTGAGGATTCTTTTAAAGACAACGTTTGCCCAGACCCCGACCAGCCTGTTGTGCAGCTTGCAAAGAGGCCTAGAATTGGGGGCAATGCTGTTGCCAGACAATAGACAAGGAACCTCACGAGAAATAAATTGGATGGATGCTATGCTGCTTTAAATTATTGTGAGTCAGATAGTTTTCTCTTTAATTTCTCTACTACTTTACTGCCAATTCTTTCAAGGCCTTACACTATGCTTTTCCTGGGAAAAAAAAACCCTCTGCTTTTATTTTTTGCTGTACTGGGTATGTTTATTATTCTGTTATCAAATTATTTGTCTTTTAACTTCAAATATACTGACTGCTTTTCAAATTCAATAATAGTTTATTTCTTTGCAAAGCTTTTCTTGAAACGAAAGCTCTCAAGAAAACAGAATACCGGTAAGGTAAAAATCAGTGGACAGCACATGTGTGCAGTTTTGTGAAATCGCCGCGTTCAATTTTTCCACTTCAGTCACCCACTGCAGGGCTTGACAGAAAAAAATTAAATAAAAACAACATTTTCTCACTTCATTCTAACTTGAAAATACCCAACAGTAACCAATTAAGGTATGTAGGGCAGTGGTATTATGTTTCTGGGTTGTTTTCGGTGCAAAATCTCTTGAAATTTTGTTGCTCCAACTTTGAACGCGATTCTCTCAAAAGTTGATCTGCTCAGGTGGTTGTCTTTAAATGCCCATATCTCAGCTTTTAATTGTCCTTTTTTAATTCTGTAAAGACCAGGTTGTTCAGAAATGGAGGTAGTTTTAGAATATCAATATATATCAAAAAGGTTCAAAGGTCAACTTGAGACTGAAAATCCCTGGTTGCCTCACATTTGTCAGGAAACCGGGTGCAATTTAAGCCTCAAGAAGTTGATGTTTGTTCCTCCTTATCCAGATCCAACTTGATCAAGGAGGAACAAATTGTCCATTGAGCAAGTTGTAAATTCTACTTGCGTGATTTGACATATCAATTGATTCAATTTTGCCAAAAAAGTTTCACTTTTTAAATTTCTACTTTTTTTTTTCTATTTCAGTTCTCAGAGTTATATCCTGAAAAAAGGCAACCTGACCCCAATGAGGCACTGCAAGACATCCTCGGCATGCCATCCATCAGTGCAAAGGATGTATCATCGTACATCAAGGTGAAGCAGTATCCCAAAGGACATCCACAACCTTCGCAAGAAGCTGGACAAGACCACAGAAGAAACTGAGCCCGAGAGGGTTGAAAAAGTGATTGATGAGATTGAGGAAGAATGTCGGAAGGTTCAATCGGGACCCCAAGAGAATGGAATTTTCCAATATCTTGCATTTATAACAAAGGACATGATAAAGACAAAGGACCAGTTTCCAGAAATACTTGTAATGGATGCCACCTACAAATGTAATTTGTGTGACTATGCCCTATTCAATGTTCTGTCGATCGATGGGAATAGGCAACGCATTCCTGTGTTGCATGCATTTGTTTCTTCTGAAACAAGTGATATTTTGTCCCTGTGTCTGTCTTCCTTTTGCAGATGTTTTGACAGCACAAGAACAACAACAATGTTTGACGACAAGAACATGGCGGAGCTGGTGGCAAATGTTCTGTGATGCCATATGTTTCAATGAGATTGTGCTCTTTTCATGCCTCAATGGCTTGTGAAAAGAGCACTTTCTAAGAGGAAGGTGTCAACCCACGTGATGAATTATACACTGACTTTTTTCCAGCAGCAGAAAGTCTGCGAGACAGAGGATGTGTATAATGAGGCGAAGGAGAAAATCAAAGACGTGTCCTCTCCCAGTGTTGTTGCCTATTTCAAGGAGAATTATTTTGGTATACAAAACTCAAAACTGCACTGTCCCTCGAAACTCCCATCCATTTCAACTCTTGGACAAATCACACAGAAATCAAAGAACACCAATGACCTCACACTTTTCTACAACATATTTCAATCTCAGCTAGACAGGAGCAAAGCATGTATCATCCTTGCAGATGAGATGTATGTAAAGGCTTCCAACCAGTACTGGAGCGATTAACTCTATGGCTTCGCAGAGGATGACAAGACATACAAGGTAACAACAGTCCTAGCAGTCATGGTAAAGTGTCTTCTACGGGCAATAATCTCCTCACTAAGCTGGTCCCCGTCGCAACTCTCAAAAGTGACTTTCTCTTAGAAGTTGTCAGCAGCGTCATCACCAATGCTTGAGGAATGTGGAGGCAAAGTTATTTCTGTGATAAACGACAACAACAGAGTGAACCAAGCATTCTTCAAGATACTCACACCTTTCAACTCCCAATCCCCATGGATCGTTCCATCACCCTCCAATCCGTCACAACCTGTGTTCTTGTTGTATGATCCCACACACATACTAAAGAATATCAGGAAAAACTGGAAAACAGAACCAACAAAGACTCTGTCCTTTCCTTTGGTCAGCACTTCAACTGGAGAAACTCGTTTTGCAAGCTGGAGTGACATCAGTGAGCTATACAAACATGAGAATGAGAATGTGCTCAAACTGTCGAAGCTGACCAAATCTGCAGTGTGGCCCTGTAACACCCAAAAGCAGAGTGTCTCCCTCGCAAATCCACAATATTACGAATACGGGTCCAGTAGCCTAACCACTAGACTACCGACGCCATACCCAATAGAGACAGCCAATATCTAGATCTAGATACCAGTAGGAAGTTAGAGATACCACTAAACAGATCTACAATACCATACAACACTAAATAATAAATTGCAGTTTTTTATTTTAAAATTCAAATTACTCAGAAGTAACTTTGTGATTTATCAGGATTTTCCTCGTGGTCTTCACACACAAACAACAATGAAAACATTAAGTAGTATGTCTCAAAACCTTTTTAAAATGTAGTCTTTCTTCACACCAAAAGTAGATTTTAAAATATTTCATCAAACACAGTTATTGTGCCAGACTTCAAAACAATATTATGTTTCATGGTTTTGTGCCATTATTGTTCTAAAAATCTGTGAACTGCTCAAGAAAGTGTGTACTGTATAAAATTTTAAAAATTGTCAATACATTAATAAAACTCACAAAATATGAAAGTACAGCATACATCATGATAATGATTATCGTTGTAAAAAAAAGTTGTGATACAAAATAATCTAAACATGTATTCAGAAAACAAAATTTGTGCATTTGAGATATCAAAATATTGTCAAAAAAAGCTAGCTGAGACATATGAATTGACTAGAACCTAGTCCATTGGGCATACCAGAGTCGTTCTGTCGACTTATGTGACTTCATCACATGCATTTAAGCTCCATAATATCAGATACCTCGAAAAATTTGAGATCTACAACGAAACCTCAGTTCATCCTAACCGAAACTATAGTTATAATTTTCATTCTGGACCAAAATAACCTGGGAACTCCTGCTCATGTCCAGTGGATCTCCTACCCTTTCCCAAACGTACAAATGCTGAAAACATTACTTTGTCAGTTGTCAAGAGGAAAAGAATAAAAACCCACACACTGATTCCTGAAGAGTGTTGTGTCTGACTAACCATTAAAAAAAATCCCCTCCTGGTAAACCTATTGTTTTAAAACAACATCTGAACGCAAAAGGGAAAGGAATTAAAGGAATTGCACAACTTCTTGTGTACTCACTGTAAGGTATGAACTCTTCTAACTTTTATACTAAAGCACAAGATACATTTATGTATTGCAGATTAGAAATTTTTTCCGCTGTATGTCCAGTAACATTCCACATAATTTGAATATGTTTTCGACAAAACTGTTGCATAATTTTAGAAATCCTTTGAGTGATTTTGTGTCTTTGCTTCAATAAAAAGAGTTAACAGTAGCAAATCTCCTTGGCTCCATGCATGCGGAAGATAGATGTTCGAAAAAGGGAAGAAGGAGCAAACTACACCAGAGCACCTGCCAACCGCCTACCTCTCAAAATCTACTAAATCTATCCCAATGAGCTGGAAGCTGAGAATCACTGGCAAGTGTATTCATATCTTATCTGAGATCATTTTCTCTGCTACCACCTAATTTATATTGAACAACAAAGCACACATATTGGTCTCCACTGATAACAAAAAAGTAACTGAGCCTCAAATACAGTATAATAAAAACACATCTCAAAATCTACTATATCTATCCTGATAATCTGGAAGCTAAACATCACTGGCAAGTGCTTTCAGATCTTATCTGAGATCATTCTTTCTTGGTTAGCAGCTCACTGTAGTCACGCAACATCCTTACAGCGACCTCAGGAGTCCATTAGTCTCCATCTTCCAATGTGCCTGATGTGGCCCTGAGAAAACAGGGAAACAAAAACAACTTGAAACTCTATACAGTGAAATTGGAGGAATACATTTTATGAAAGTCACATTGGCACATTGAGAAAGTTAGGTCAAATGTTGTTTAGTTTAGTTTAGTAAAAGTTTTACAACGATCACAACTACATAAGTAAGGTCATAATATGAACACATGAAACACAAGTTGGCTGTATTCAAAACAGTTCACAGCACTGTTTGATTTTTCTATGGTAAGGTTAAAATAACATGTCAGGTCACGGAGGTCAAATGAGGAAATAGAAGTGGAGTAAAGCCTGAGATACTATCACTACTATCATTGCAAATCGCAATTCTTGTTTGCATTCCCCAGTTAGGTCAGAGACAGTGAAAGTGTGTATCGTACCAAGATGCCACCAATTTTCTTTTCTCTATTCAATAAATTTGCGAGCGCCGTAAAACCCTATACTACTACTACTACTACAATAAAGTAGGTCAATCTTTCTAACTCACAAAAACATTGTGCGATCCAGTGAGCCAAATGTCATCTTCATTTCGCTTCAGTGCAATTTTCCATTTTATTGTCACCAACCAGTACCTCCTCTTTCAGGTAGAGGGACTAGTGATAAAAATGTTGCCATGCAGTAACAATAAGGCCTACACTGCGACTTGCAGCTGTCAAGGTGTCTGTAACATGCAAAAAAGACCTTTTGGCTTTTCATTCTATAAATAAGACAACTTAAAAATACTTTATCTTATCTTCCCCTTGACTAGTGGTACAAAGACTAAGAAAAGAATACAAAATTATCAACCAACAATGTCAGGAAGGCCCTGAGGAAAATTCTTGCAATTTATGGCATCCCAAAACAAAAATAATAAATTGTATAAGTTCAATATAACATATAATAAATATACCACAGCAAACTGCTGTGTGTCCTAGTTGAAGGAGAACTCTTCTGCATCATTTAAAGTAAAAATACTGGGAGTTAAACAAGACTGTATATCATCGCCTCAACATTTTGGAATTGTGATCGATTTCATAATGAGACAGAGAAAGGACATTGAAACAGGCATTGGATGGACAAATGGCACATATATATATTTAGGAGATTTAGATTTTGCGAATGACATCAGCCTTTTAAACACCACAGTACATGAAATGCAATAAATAACAAACGAAAAAGCAAAAGCTGAGGAAAAAGTTGGTCTCATAATAAATACATCTAAAACAGAAGCACCACGACTATGATCTGAAACTACACTCATCACTCTTATGGAAAACCCCTCGAAGAAATTAGTAAATTCAAGTACTGTGGCTGCATAACTGCAGACTGCCTTGACGATGTTCACCAAAGACTTAAAAATGCATGGGTTATTTTTGTGAAATTAGAAACCATATAAGTTAAAGATCATTTCACGGAAAACAAAATTAAAAATATATAAAAGTATTAAAAGCAATATTTTGGCCATATTGACGTATAGCCTACCTGTATGGTAGAGAGATTTATAAGGAAAACAAGCAAAACAATTCGACGAAAATAAAAAAGCTTCCAAACAAAATGTTTACGAAGTAGCCTATTTTACAAGTGAAATGGAATGAACTTGTTGATACAAATTATAATGAATTGTTGGAAAGGCTGAAATTAAAGATCAACATTACTATAAAAAGGGTAAGATCCAGATATCTTGGACATGTTCTTAGAATGCCGAAGATATGACTGCCCTATCAGACATGATATTGGAGACCAACAGGAAAAAGAAAACGAAGAAGACTAATTGGAAGCTATAGAGGCACAATAAGGAATGAGGCAATCACCCAGGATCTGGACATGCCGAAATTGGAGAACGTCGCCAGGAATAGGCAAGCTTGGCTTCGAATGCTCTCCGCCTTATAATGTACCTGATGGTACAGGGAGAGAGTAAGTAATCAATGTCCATACAGATCACAAACTAAAGGTATGAGAGTCAGGCACAAAACCTCTTGGCTTGGCATGTCTTATTGGTTTTGTGGAAAGACTAAACCTGTAAGGGTATGGTAACTTTTTGGTAAAATAAAAATTCTTACCGATTTTCCAGCCGCACATTCTGGACAAGGTCTGTCATTCACACTTGATACAGGGTAGCTATTCACAGGGAACTTGTCTTCAATAGGATTGCAAATTCCTTGACTATGAGTTTCTGCTGCAAAATGTGGAGAGGCTAAAGGCTGATTGGAAAGGAGATGAACAGGAGCTTGGATCCCTCCTTGCTGAGGCAAAAAGTGCAGACCAGTGTGAGGTACACCTGTCTGAGATACAGTCATAGAGGGTTGCAGTTGCATGGCACAGTCTCCCTGCTCATGCAGTGAATTGATATGAGCGTGAGAACCAACTGAAAATTGGAAACAAGTCAGATGCTGGTTAGAGGCGTCCGTATCATGACTTTCCCACTGGGCATTTCCGCATCTGTTGTCATTAGAAGTGTGATTTACAATGGACATGCTCCATACTGAATCACTGGCCTGACACTCTGTCCTGATGAATCCCTGTATGAGTAAAAAAAAACCAGAATGTTAATAATTTAAGTGCTGTACATGATGTACAAGCATTTCCCTAAAGATGGGGCAGTTTGCATACAGAATTTTAATATACAACACTACTCATTGAAATATATGTTTGCTACTAAAACAAAGAGCAAACAATATGGAAAAAAAATAAGGTTAAGTCGGTCAAGCTGCTTGGGCTTTTCATTGATGTGTGCCTCTTATAAAAACCTATAGAGGAAAAAGGTGACAGCACTTGAAATAGGGCATTTTAAATTTTACACATCTTCAGCACACACATATGAGACTCAACTATCAAGCAACTTAATACAATCAAACATTGAAAATTAGTTTGATTGCACCCCCCGAGCCGCTGTCACTGTCACTGAATACAAACAAACGTCACACAGGGTAGTGAACTTAAGACTCAAAACAAAGCACCTGAGGATGTTTCTTTGTTTTATTAGAAACTGACAGAGGAGGCCATATTCTCATTTTCAATTTTTATTTCTGAATCGATAACAACAACAAAGTCTTATTCAGATTTGGAGAATTTGGCATGGGAATGATTTTACAATCAGTCATTTAATTTATATACTCAATTGTCCTTTCGCGCTCGCAAATCAGCAAAACATAAAATTAAAGGAAAACACAGGGAAGCATTATAACGGTATAAAGACGAGATGCAATTAGACCTTGCCTTTACGGTTACCTGTCCAAAATTTACTGCTTTTTGTCTCTGATTGAGTTCCCCCCGCCTTTGTCGTTACGCACCATTACGTTTTGACCCCACCAATTAAAATCCAGTCTATTTAACAAATTCAGGAGTAGAGACAAGAACTGCTGCTATGCATAATGGTCAGGGAAGAGTTCAAAGTTCGATGTGATCCCACCAGGAGCAAATTTGTAGGCTCTACCCACCCAGCGGTTGATGTAGGTGTAGGTGGAGAGCTCAGATGCATGTGTGATGTTTGGAAAAAACAAAAGCGTGGGTCAGTTCCAAGGGTAAGTTGGTCCAAACCATTTTGCCTGAAAACTTTCAATAGCATCTCAAGGGGCTAAGCCTGAAAAGATAATTGAATCATTCCCGTATCGTCGATTTACGCCCGAACTCGAGTGCAGTGGAGTTAAAAAAGTCAGCCTTTTTTTAAAGTTGTCAGGTAAATTAAAAAACCTGTGCTTCACAGGATCGACGCTAGTCCAGTCAAATGAAATTATAAGACCATGTACTGTTCAAGAGAGTCTTGTCCTTTGTAAACAACAGAAGAGCCATGATATTGGCAAAAAGGCAAACCTGTCACTCTATGAAATCTCAGAATCAAATTGACCGAGGTGACTGCCAGACTGACTTACAAATTTTTCAGGGGTGTCCATAAATTAGCTCTTTGTGTGTGTTTGTTTGTGTGTGTGTGTGTGTGTGTGTGTATGTGTGTGTGTGTGTGTGTGTGTGTGTGTGTGTGTGTGTGTGTGTGTGTGTGTGTGTGTGTGTGTGTGTGTGTTTTATTTATCATTATTTTTTTTCTAACCCTGAAGCATCACGTCAAGAACTCCTAGTCTAAGATTCTAACCCTCCCCCCCCCCCCCAATAATTCCCAATAATTCCCGAAAGACACTTCAACCGGTGAGCATGAACATGAACTTAAGCTGACCCCATCAACAGGCGGACGGTCCCCAACACACGCGGCGATTGAAAATTTTACTGACGAACTTGGAATACCAGGTGCCCATTGCGGGTGGGGTCGGATCGATTGCCCGACTCGTCGCCAGAAAACAAACATGTTTCTTTTTGAGGCAACGAGTCGGGCGCGATTAATTTGTGCCACGATAGCCGCTTTGCGCCCTCAATGTGGCTAGCAAACCAACCCTACCCAATCCCAAAATGCCCACTGGGCACTCAAACACTCGGACGAGCGAGAGTTGTTCTTGGCTAATGACAACAGCTGATCAACCAAATGTACAAACAAATCTCTTCCCTCATAGTATGCACACAGACCTAGGCCTTCTCAGTCTGAGAAAAGCCTAGGTACAGACCAAAGCAACGACAGCAGCTGAGTGTTAGTAAGTCAGCCCAGTTAGAAGGGTAAGAACGACTTGCTCGTCCGAGCGTTTGATGTGAATTCGCGGTTACTAGATCTAGACCTTGGACGAGGCTTGCTTTGAAAGTAACAGCAGAACTACGAATATTAAATTAATATTATAGATTATTTGTATTTGCAACTGTAACAGAATCAAGTTATAATGGGAGAATTCTGATAGCGGGCTTAGATCCAACACAACTTGGGGCGAGTCAACTAACAAGATCCAGCACTGGCATTTCGGAAAATAATGCTCCGAGTTCCTACTAGAAAGTAGAGCTGGGCGAAGGACCGATTCGGGAACCGATTCCCACGATTAAAGCTACGGAAGAAAAGTTCCGACTCCCTTTTACTTAATCCAACAGTTACCAGTTATTTAATCATTATAATCTTCTTCTTTCTTTTAGAATTCATGTTTGAAAAATAAAATTTGATGCTTCGTAGTGTTCCAAAATCAAGGTTATTAAAAATTCTGAAGATGCTTGGACCCAACCAGGTAAATAATTGGGTTCGGAGTCGATTCCTAGCTTTCAATAATCAGGAACCTAGCTGGCCAGCACTTCTAGAGAGATGGCACTTCGCCCGGATGCGCGTATCTCTAATACCTGTCCTCAGAGAAAGTTGCATTTGAAATAGCAAAAGTTGCAAGAAAAATAAGCAAAAGTTGCAAGAAAAGTTGCAAGACGTGTATTTTAACAATGTCACGGAACTATTGGAATACACTGTTGCTATGCTCATTGCAATCAAAAGTAACCAATATATGAGTTTTGTTAAATTGAAATCAAAAGTTAAAAGTGAATGTCTACCAAAAAAATTTTTTAAAAATTTATATAACTGCATGGAGGTTGCATGGTGTACAAAAACAGTTTGTCCCCCGACACGTGTGTCAGGTCCTTAAACTCTCGCTGACGTTGGGCAGGTGTGACCAGCATGGTTTTGGGGCTGT